TTCAATGTATGCCCACGCAGTATTTGTAACTACTTAACTTGTCATAAACTTAAAGGCAAGTTACATGGTTTAATGTTCAACAAGAAATAAAAGGCAAGATGAAAAGTGAAAAATGAGTAAAAAATGAAAAATCCAAGGGAAAACAAAAATCACAATTTCACTCTAGGGAAGAACTGCGAATAAATTCTGGTCTAATTTATTTAGGAATCATGATAACCAGTATTTTTAGAAGCAGCAGCAAAAAGTTCATATAAGTAAAATGCACACACAAGTGAAGATTCGTAACGTTTTACATGTTAGTTGTGGTTCCCCCCATTTCTACCAACAGCCACTGGAACATCTCCACTGATAAGGCCCCCAGTTGGAAAAGCCCCACCCTAAACTTATCACCTCCCGGGCCCTGCACAGGCAGCGTTCTCCAGCGCGTGTGCTTAGGTCAGAAACGTGGCCATCCTCCTTGACTCACTGTCGTTCTTCACCCCTCAAACCAACGCTCCATCAGGTCCTGCTGACGCTACCTGAACCTGATTTTCTTCATCCCTGCTGCCACTAACCCAGTTCAGACTACTGTTATCACTCATCAAATAATTTCCATGCTAGAGTACTCAAATGTGCCAACTTTTTCAACAGCCTGGATTCTCACTGGAGGAAGAATCGCATTTACTGTTTTTGGTGCATTAGCCTGGAACCTGTTTTCTTCAGAGATCACAGTCAGTGAAGAATCACAGGAGTGATAATAAAACTGCAAGCTTTATTTATTTAAAATTAATTATTTTGGGGGGGGAGGTAATTAGGTTTATTTATTCACTTATTTATTATAATAATTTTTTTCTGAAAGGAGGTACCAGGGATTGAACCCAGGACCTCGTGCATGCTAAGCACTGCGTTCTACCACTGAGCTACATCCTCCCCCTAAAACTGCTAGCTTGAGAGTTGTAATTTTATTATAAAATTTCGGCCCCAAAGTATTGATCCTGTAAGCCAGAAAAGCTCCAATGTTAATCACATTTTATTTATTTATTTATTAAACATTTTTTATCGAGTTATACTCATTTTACAATGTTGTGTCAAATTCCAGTGTAGAGAACAATTTTTCAGTTATACATGAACATATATAAATTCATTGTCACATTTTTTTTTGCTGTGAGTTGTCACAAGATCTTGTATATAATTCCCTGTGCTATACAGTATAATCTTGTTTACTATTATGCATTTTGAAATCCCAGTCTGTCCCTTCTCACCCCCCACCCCTTTGGCAACCACAAGTTTGTATTCTGTATCTATGAGTCTGTTTCTGTTTTGTATTTATGTTTTTTTTTGTTTTTTAAGATTCCACATATGAGCGATCTCACATGGTATTTTTCTTTCTCTTTCTGGCTTACTTCACTTAGAATGACATTCTCCAGGAACATCCATGTTGCTACAAATGGCGTTATGTTGTCGGTTTTTATGGCTGAATAGTATTCCATTGTATAAATATACCACTCCTTCTTTATCCAGTCATCCGTTGATGGACATTTAGGCCGCCTCCATATCTTGGCCATTGTAAACAGTGCTGCTATGAACACTGGGGTGCAGGTGTCATTTTGAAGTAGGGTTCCTTCTCCCTAAAGTGGGTCTCTTGTATGCAGCATATTGAAAGTTCTTGCTTTATTATCCAGTCTGCCACTCTATACTTTTGACTGGAGCATTTAGACCATTAACATTTACAGTAATTAAATTAAACACAGATG